CCCCTCATTTTTGCATAGTTCCCCTTTCTGAAATTAAATGTCACAGTGTTGAGCTGTTGAGGTGTTCTTCCCACCACAGGGATTTTAAATGTTGTTATATTAAGGTCACTATTTCCAAGCCGTCCTGTTATAGTTACCTCTTGGACCAGCTCCTGCACTCCACTTAGGACTAAATCGAGAGTTGCTTCTCCCCTTGCGGGTTCTTGTACCAGCTGCTCCAAGAAGCAGTCATTTAAAGTATCAACAAATTTTGTCTCTGCATTTTGTCCTGAGGTGACATGTCAATATGGGGATAATTGAAATCCCCCACTATTATGGAGTTCTTTATTTTGATAGCCTCTCTAAACTCCCTTAGCATTTCATCGTCACGATCACCATCTTTGACAGGTGGTCGATAATCGATCCCTATTGTTGTATTCTTATTAGAGCATGGAATTACTATCCATAGAGATTCTATGGAACATGCAGTTTCATTTAAGATTTTTACATCATTTGAGTCTACATTTTCTTTAATATACAGTGCCATTCCCCCTCCGCCCCCCAAAAAAGTACGACCTGCTCTGTCCTTCCAATATATTTTGTACCCTGGAATGATTGTGTCCTATTGACTATCCTCACTCCACCAGGTTTCAGTGATGCCTATTATGTCAATATCCTCTTTTAACACGAGGCACTCTAATTCACACATATTATTTAGACTTCTAGCATTTGTGTACAAGCACTTTAAAAACTTATCACTATAAAATCTCTATCACTAGACTCTCCTCTAAGAGAAGTCTCTGTCCAATCCACCTGCTCCTTTACAGCCATCGGCTTTCTCCCATCTCTTAGTTTAAAAACTGCTCTGCAACCTTTTTTAATGTTAAGTGCCAGCAGTCTGGTTCCACTTTGGTTTAGGTGGAGCCCATCCCTCCTGTATAGGCTCCCCCCCATCCCCAAAGTTTCCCCAGTTCCTAATAAATCTAAACCCCTCCTCTCTACACCATCATCTCATCCACTCATTGAGACTCTGAAGCTCTGCCTGCGTACCTGGTCCTACATGTGGAACTGGGAGCATTTCTGAGAATGCCACCATAGAGGTCCTGAATTTCAGTCTCTTTCCTAGCAGCCTAAATTTGGCCTCCAGGACGTCTCACCTACCCTTCCTTATGTCATTGGTGCCTACATGTACCACATCCACCGGCTCCTCCCCAGCACTACACATAAGTCTGTCTAGATGCCTCGAGAGATCCGCAACCTTCGCACTAGGCAGGCAAGTCACCATACGGTTCTCCCGGTCTTCACAAACCCAGCTATCCTTGTTTCTAATGATCAAATCTCCCATTACTAACAGCTGCCTCTTCTTAATGACTGGAGTTCCCTCCCCTGGCGAGGTAACCTCAGAGCAAGCGGTTACCCCAACACCATCTGGAAAGAGGGTCCCAACTACGGGAAGGTTTCCCTCTGCTCCCGTTCACTGCTCTGCTTGCCTGGGCCTTTCATCCTCCTCAACAGCGCAAGGGCTGTCTGACCGGAAGTGGGAGAAATCTACAGTGTCCCGGAAAGACTCATCAGCGTACTTCTCTGCCTCCCTTAGCGTCTCCAGTTCCACCACCCTGGCCTGCAAAGGCTCCACGCTGTCTCTGAGGGCCAGGAGCTCCTTGCACCGAACGCACGTATACGCCACCCACCCACAGGGCAGGTAATCATACATGCTACATGGTGTGCAATAAACAGGATAGCCCCCATTCTGCTGCTGGGCTTCTGTCTGCATTCTCTCTTACAGCTACCTAGGTTAACAATAGGGGTTTTGTTTAAAATCAAGATGTTTGTATTATAGCTTAAATGTTTTAAAGAATGGCAAGAGTACCTTGCCCCCTTCCTACTCCCCTTCCAAACTCCCTCACGAAACTCCCTGTTAGCAGCCCTGGTCGCAAAGCTCCCTGGTCGCTTGCTCACTGCTTTACTAAGGACTCCCCTATAACATAACCCCCCTCACCTGCAGCCCCTGTTGTGAGCCACTCAGGGTAGGGGGCTGGGAGCACCCCCACGACCCCAGCCCACACCCCCAGTCCTCAGACTGGACTCCTGCACCCCCCCCACACATACCCAGCCAGCCCCCTGCTCTCCCCACACATACCCAGCCCTCGCACCCCATGCCCTGATTCCTGGACCTGACCCCCCACCCATCCTCACCCCAACCCTGAACACCAAATGGGAACTACTGCACCCCCTCCCACATTGCCATTTGCACCTCTTGCACCAAATGGGAGCTGACCCAGGTAAGTACTCCACACCCCAACCTACTGCCCCAACCCTGAGCCCCCTCCTGCACCCTAACTCCCTCCCAGACCCTGCACCCCCAGCCCTGACCCTGCACCTTGAACACCCTGGCCTCCCGGACTCCTGCACCCACTCACACACACCCCAGCCATGACTCCTTAACTCCTCTCACACACACCCCAGTCCCCTGCCCTCCCTGATTCCCGCAACCCCCCCATACCTCCTGCCCCCACACACCCCAGCCCCCTGATTCCTGCACCCCCTCGCCCCCCAGCCCTTATTCCTTCACCCCTCTCAAACACACCCCAGTTCCCTGCCCTCCCTGATTCCTGCAACCACCCATAACCCCTCCCCCTCACACACACCCAGTCCTGACTCCTGCACCCCCTACACACAGCCTCCTGCCCTCCCACAACTCCACCTACATTCCTTGCATGAAACGGGAGCTGCCCCAGGTAAGCGCTCCACACCCCAACCCCCTGCCCCAGCCCTGAGCCCCCTCCCACACCCTAACTCCTGGACAGACCCTGGACACCAACGTCCAGCCTGCTCCTGCACCCAAATTCCCTCCTAGACCCTGCACCCCCAGTCCTGAGCCCCCTCACACACCCTAAACCCTGGCCAGTCCCCACACCCCAATGTTTTTTACATTTTTTTTTATAAAGGGCTCTTATCCAAAGCGCTTTACAATAGTTAGCTAACAGTACAAACAATATTTGGAAAGATCATTAAGTGGTGCACTGAGACCCTCAGCGATTTTCAACTGGTCTGTGGAAAAATCAGTTGGACTACAAGAACAATCAAGGTACCTCACTTTTTTTCATTTACTTCCTATTACTTATAGGAGGAGGAGGAAGAAAAAAAAATGAAAAATCGGGGTGGGAGAGGATGAGAGAATGTTCTTCTTCTTGCCTGGGTCCCAAGGAGGAGCCCCAAAAATGAAGCCGAGCACAGGGCCCCACTAACGCTAAAACCGCCACTGAGCTTCCTTCTCTGGATGCCCCCAGCCAGCATTCAAGGACACACAGAGTGTCTGTGTGATACGCAAGCCTAGACCAGCAGCTCTGACTCCAGCAGCCTGCTCGTTACACCCCAAGCACATTCAGGTTTGGGTGGAGAAGGCTCAGGGTTTGAGAGGTCAGGGGTAGGAAGCTTCTGTTGATTATGCTGCACCTAACGCTCAGTTTTACTTGAGCAAACAGGAGATATTTGACACTGCGTGATACTGCTCCTGTGCGCTGTTCCCAAAGTGTTCTGCAGCAGGGGAGGGTCTCTGGTAGTGTGTGTGTCACTGGCATATTGGGGTGATACTGAAACTGGGCAGAGTAGAGGTGGCATTGTGGGGCTGGCTTGAACCTTATCTCTTCTTTTCTCCTTCCAAGAACCGAGGGGACGGGAATCCTTACCCAGCAAGGTCACGTTCTCATAGTTCTCCTGCATGACATCCAAGTAGAGGGCTCTCTGAGTGGGGTCCAGCAGAGCCCATTCTTCCCTGGTGAAATACACAGCCACCTCCTCGAAGGTTACCGGCCCCTGGAAGACCAAGAGTCCAACACTCAGTACCTGCTGCCCCACTCACAGTCTGAGTGTTTGTGGGGGAGAGGAACCCATCAAAGGGAAGCCCTGGGTGGATTGTAGTCAACAGAGTCCCACTCCCACCCTGCTCAGAGCATCCAGGAAACACCAGGGTGAGGGAACCAAGAGAGAGCCCCTCTGCTCTCCCAGCAGATCAATCACACACCTTGTGACAATGCGGTTCTGGCGGAACCCAACTGGGAGTGCCAACTCAGGACAAATTGCTTAAACAGGGCAGTTGCAGCCCAAGGCTGGGGTATTTTCCACCTCTAAGGCAAACCAAACCAGCCAGACTAAGGGAACTTCAGTCTCACCCCACTGGCTAACCGCAAGTCTCTCAAGCAATCTCCTTAGACACTCCAGTTTCCCAGTATAACCACCAGTGCCACTCGTACGGGGACAACTGGTTATGAAAA